TGTAAGTGACCCATAAAAAGGTTCTGTATACTATATAACACAAATATGTTATTATCTCAGTAGTCACATTACTGATGTTGCTTGCCATCTAAAAGGACCACTTCCCCAGATGCACATCTGTAACTATTCACCTCCTCTTTGTTCCTGTTCTAAAGGTACCTGTGCAGTACGAAAGACTGGCTTGGCAAGGCATGTACAGACCTGCCAGAAAGCAGGAGTGGTCCTTTGTGAACTCAGAATGAGCCTTGAAAAGGAGAAATAAATCCTCAAACCAAAAGAGACGTGAGCCAGGTGCTGTGATGTTCATTTCAGAAATCTGTTATCCTGGCAAAGGGAATTAGAAAGGTAGCCCTGAAAATAACTACAAGGGGATCAACTGCCTCAGTGCAGAACTAGTCTTATTGTTCATAGTTTAATAGAAGCTTGGAGGAAAATCAGCTATTTTAAAAACCAGAGCACACTCTCCGGCTCTGTTCACAGCTTGGATTTCTCATTCCTCTGCAATGAATCTTAATCACCGGGTTCTCCTTGCCCCATTTCTGTTTTTCAAGTTTATTTCTCTCAATGTGAAATATCTTTTTACATTTACAATTATGCTCCTACCATTTCAGTTAGGATTTATATTTGATGAAAAATTAGTTTTGGAGGTGACAGAAAAGATAGACATGGGAATGACTGATTAATATGAAAATATGACAATCTATGGAAACTGTTTCTTATTGATTGCAGACAAAGGCTCATTTACAAAAACCGTCAAGGTGCATTGGTTTCTCTAATTTATAAGAAAAAGATCATTTTTAAAATGAGCTTTTAGAGTCACAGTTTAAAAATAGTGGGTTGGTATTTTTTTTTCTCTTCACTGTTTTCTTCTTGGAAACTGAAATATAAAATTTCTCTCCTGAATAAGTCGTTCTGTTTAAAATCAAATCTAGAGGAAGTCAGCAATTCTATTTAGACTTGGAATGCAATCCTTTGAAATTAAAGCAGTGAAGAGAACCATATTAAACTCCAATTCAGTACCATAAGCCAGCATAGCAAAATGTTTATTTACATAAATGAAAACATCATACACATAAATTAGTTTAAGAGTAATCCAAGCCAGTTTCTTATTTTTCTAATTCATTTAGCTTATTTGCATGTATTATGTAATTAAAAAAATGTTTTCCTGTGTTTGTAAGGCTATTTTCTAAGATACTATGCTGTACCATATTCTGAAGTATCTATATGTAGAATAGTACACAATGTTAAATCTTTACAACTAATGTATATACATATGCATTTATGCAACTGAAACCTGGTGCTTTTATCTTTTTCTTTTCTACCAAGAATACAAATATTGTGGAGAAGGAACACGTTGTTTTTATAATTAGCAACATGGCTAGATTTAGAGTCACATAACACAGGAAGTTGATGATGACAGATTACTTCAATCCTTTCTTCTCATAAGGACAGGAAGGGCATGAATATCAGTACTACTTATCTTGAAGAGAAAGAGATCATCACTGAAGATGAATCTGGTAAGATGTGGTTGAGACAACTCCTAAGGGTAAGACCTTAGCCTTTCTGAACCACGTGTATCTTTCCTGTGATCAAGAAGGTTACAATGAATATGCAGCCTTTGATTTCTGAAAGGATCCATGCTCTTGGACATTATCTGTTCACTTACTATGCAAGGTTATCACAGTCCACATAAGCAGTTGAAGCTCACAGGAGAGAGCTACCAAAGCATCTCCTGCCGCTCCATCTAATCTTTAAACAGCACAACAAAGAATAACAACCGGATTTTTTTTTAAGCTCATGACTATGGACTCACATACAAGAAGTTATGAGTTCCACAAATATATATAAAAGTCTAGAAATGTGAACTTGGTATAAAGACCACATACTCTGACACACAGATATACTGCATGCAATCAGAGATCAATCTTAAATCTCCAATACTTAGATAGGAGGAAATTTTTTAATCCTAAGTATTAAAATTTAATTGGTGACTTTGACCTTGAGTGCCACTTGAGGTGAAAAATATTACAGCAGTACTTGGATTTCCTTGAGATTTATGATCTCATGTTCTTGAAAAAGACCCAGCACTTCCGTGTTCCTGAAATAATTGATCTGTCTGTTACAGTGTTGTTTTCCTGATACCAACATCTGTCTCAGGAAGAGAGGTACAAACTGATGAAAGCACTCTGCTATATTTGAGTGATTCAAAAGTGCTACCAGAATTTGCATCTGACACACATTACACTTATAAAAGCACTCAGGATTAAGAAAAAATTCTTAGCCTAGTATAGAACAAGGAAAAACAGTAAAACCATTATTAACATGGTATAGAAAGATTTGGTATAATTACTAGCAGAATGCTGTCAGTGTGCAGACAAGCCACAGCTCAAACATGTAGCCCTCATCTTTCTTGGGTTGTATTAGAAATTCACAATCACATTGTCTTTAGTGAAATCACAAACTCTAACAATTCAAGCCAAAACAAATCACTCTCAATCATCTCTCTTGGTTGTATCTTTTAGTGAAGATAATCCAAATATTGTAAAAGTTGCTTAGCAATCAGGAAATAAAGGAAATATAAATATTACTATGATTGTGCAACAAACAACAAAAACAGATTCAGGCCGTACTTATATATTTGCGCATATATATACATATATGTTATATGTGCATACATACATATTATATAACAATAATAATAATAGTAAGGAAGAGGCTATTAATTTGGGGATGGAAGGAAGGAGTTGAAGGGAAGAGACTTGGGAGAGATTAGAGGGAGGGAAGGATGGAGAAGAAGTGATAATTATATTTCAACCAAGTTGTATTTTTGAAAAAAGCAAGAGAGCCAACATCTAAGGAAAAATGTATAGTCATTCATTAATTTATGTAACAAATGTTATGTGATGTAACATGACGTAACACGTTAAGTCTTTTTTACACATAACTATGTCTTAAAGTCCTTTCCAACAATAAAGGCCTATGTGTGATTTAGTTTTGTACAGGCCTCTGAAATTTGACTCTGATGAAATAGGTACATTTGCCTCCACCTCCCAATAGTCTGATCATTTTTCAACAATCCATTCTTCAGGGGGTTCTAGAACGCAATCAGTGTATTACAACTTAGAGATGTCAGTGATATTAGTTAGAAAAGAGGGAGGGATAGTCAAAAGAACTTCTACAGCAAAGATACCAATGGCGAACACTGCTCCTAGAAAGCTGTGCATACGTTCTGCCCCAGTTGTTCAGATATCTCTTTAAACATCTTGGATAAACACACCTGAAGAATCGTGAAAATCTGCTGAACACAGCATCACATCAGTTGCTCACAAAGACAATTGTCAAACAAGGGTTCATCCTGAGCAAAGATGCATAGAAGGTCACCATCAGGAGGAGGCAGAGATACAAACGCAATCAAGCTTGACACATATCTCAGGCCTAAATTCAGGAGTGGCTAAAGGAAGGGATATGTGGGACCTCTCTACAGCCATAGCCACAAGAGCATCACCCGTTTGTTTCTTCATAGAAACATTATGAATGGAAAATGTACTCCCATGCAAATATCAAAACTACAGGAAAGCATCCTATAATGTACAGACGCACTTTTTGAATACTTGTAAACTGATTCTTCATGCAGGACTTTATCTGTTTTGTTACTGATCTGCTTGGCCATATTTATAATCTGAAAATTCACTATATTCCCCTTTAAATAATCTAAAGGACTGCAGAAAACTGGCTGTGGAGTAAATTGTAAACAGTTAAATGTGAATCTTCTGACTCTCTAAGTAAATGTGTTCTCTGCAGGGAAATAGACTAAATAAAAATGCCCAGAAGAGAAAAAGAAATTTCAGAATAACACTTCTAAAAGCCAGATTATTTTCTGGAATAGAAATATAATTTGCATGAAACAATAAAGAAACATCGTTTACACAATCAACACACTCCTATTAAATACAACGAATGAATTTTCTTCTAAATGTCATCATATAGACCCCTTGCAAAAGACTTTGGCTTGGGAAAGTCAGAACTATTAGAAAGTAAAACAGGACCCTACGCTTTTTGTTTTTAATGGCATTCATTTTGTTCTGTAGTTAAATGAGTTAAACAGATCTCTGGATATAAGTGAGTCAATTTCTAGCCCGAGGCAACAGGGCTTCCATAATCTCTGTCATCACAAACCGGTAGGGCCAGCCTGGGTGTGGTTTCAGTTAAAGGACTTTACAGTTGGACGAACAGTGCTGAGGTTGAGAATTCGAATCTAAACAGTAATCCAGATCCAGCAGGCTACCCTGCACGGTACAGTTGATAGACTATCAAATCCACGTATTTAAATGTTGTATCTAGGAATCCCTTTATACCTGCAAGGACAGGATCATGCACAGAACAGAATGTTCACTGACTAAACTGTGGAAGGCATTTCTTGATGGGTGAAAAAGTAATTATATTAAGATAATTAGAGGGCAAACTTCACAACGGTAGGAAAAGACAGGATTTTGATTGTTTTATTTATTTGTTTTGTTTTGTTTTGTTTTGGCAGCTGATTCACTGGCCTTCAGTGGACACTTGTCCAGAGACTTGACAACCACTGTGCTGATGTCAAGTCACATAAATTGAGAATAAGAAACTTCCCAAGTGGGGAGGGTAGCAGTTGCATGCTCTACCCTGCCCTCTAAGGACAGTGGTGGTAGTGAGCTGGTTGTTTTTCTTACCTGATTTAGGAGGGAACTGTGGAGGGTGCTGGGTATGTTAGCATTAGGCAGGCACCCTGAGGCTGTTCAGTAAGCAAATAACCAGCTCAACCACTGAAGGTACAAAGCACACAGAGCTGGAGGTTAGTCACCCAGGAATGATTTGCACTTTAACCCTTCACCTCCTGGTCACAAGGTATAGACCAAACTGTGGGAACAAAGGCCAGCAGTTACAGCTGACTTTCCCCAGCAGTTGCTATATACTTTCATAGTCACTTAACTGCAGTTACCATAGACATATAATGAGAAACAGACCTGGATCCACTGGTCTGCAAGCTCTCCGAAGTCCATTGGTCCGTTTCTGTGAGGAAAACAAAGCAAGACAAAGACATGTTGGTGATATGGTATAGGATCATTGCAGCAGGGAGACTCTGGCAATCAGTGTTGCCTTAGTTCCAATTAGAATCATGGCTAAACTGTGAACAAAATGTGGTTTGAATGTTTCTATTTATAATTTAATACAATTCCTCTGATAAGTTTCCATTAGACTATCATTATATTTTGTAATCATATTGCAATGAGAGGAACTTTCTTTTTATGTGTGTTGGAATTTGCCATTGTGTGTATGGGGACATGGTTTTGACAGAGAATTCCCCAATTTGAGAAGTACATTAGCTGTGGATTTTTCACAGTGCGGCTTCTCAGGTTGGTTTCATTCATAAGTTAAATCACTGAAATATTAAAACAGAGGTTTTAATACTCTCAAGGTGCTCAAAGTCATGTACTGAAGATTCTAGGATTCTTATGTAAAGCAAAATAGAGAAACTTTAAACACAGAATTTTTATCTTCACTTCAACTACTTTCAAAATGCATTTGTAAAAGACTAATAGGATCATAAAAGTCTGCCAGGATTTCTATGGAGCAAGCAGAGTATCTATGCTAGAAAAACCAGTAGAAAGAATCACTGTAAGAAAACTTGTTGCCCTGGGCTACTTGGTGACCAAGACATAAATACTTGAAAGGCATGAAGGTTATTGATCCTCCTCTGAAAATATGAAAGAAAACTGCTACCAAAACAAACTCTTTCTTACCAAAAAATTTTACTGAACAATTTTGAACTTTCTATAGAAAAGGCACCAAGCAACACAACTCATGATACTTTCAACAGAAAAATATGGCGCCAGTGTTTGCTTCCCACCAACATCATTACCTGACAACTGACAACAGGAACTGTCTTGCCCTGTTTTACATTGGGCTTAAGATTAAAGTAGGCAACACAATGCAGTTAATGATCATATAGGAAAGATTATCTTCAAAGTTAAAACATTCTGCTTGTGTTTTCCCATCTTTCAGGAAAAATTATAATAGCAATTACTTCGCCAGGATGATGGTGAGAATTCATCTGTCTCAAGCGTTTGGATCACTAAGTGATTCTTTAGTGTTACTATCATTATTAACTTTGTGGAGTTGTGAAAGTTTAAATTCACACAAAGGATACGTTCTGGAAACTAGAGCGTCTATATTTTTGTTGTGGTTTTGAACTAAGGTCTTCCTGTGCTGCTGAAGCTTATCTCAAATCCACACGTGCAAGAAATCCTCTTGCCTCAGCCTCCCCAGGAGCTGAGATTACGGGCATCTGTCCCGGCACACTACGGGCCTTACTGATTGTTAGTTTTATGTTCTTCCTCCTGAAAAATCATTTAATTCAGCTGTCCTAAAACCAGAAACTTTTCTGCAGGAGAGGTAGGCAGTAAAATAGACTATATATTAAATTAATTCTACACACAAATGGAAATTCCAACTAAATAAAATATATTTGGAGAAACTCTGATTAACTATACTTTAAAATCTTTAAAAACATTTTTAACTGTAAAAATTATAAAATATTTTAAAATATTTTTGAAATGCAGAATTTAATATTCCTCTTTCACTCGTTTTCTCTCGTGGCTGGAGAGACCGGGTCTATAGGTAGAAGACAGGAAAGAAAGGGCAAACACGGCAGCCATGCCTGGAAGTCACAGGCATGGGAGCTGGTCTCTGGAGTCTCACTCTTTTGTTCTACCCAAGAGGGTTGAAGAGGCAAACCTAATTCTACAAGCATTTGGTAATTATTTCATCCTCCACTGCCTTGTCTTTACTTTTTTTTTTAATATGTCTATTGTCTAGAAATCCTGTCTTCTTGCTTCTTTGAGGAAAAAGAACTAATTCTCTCTGTTGATTTTTACCAACAATATAAGGAATAGCTTCCTTTGTTTTATGGAAGTTAGCTTTGGCTCCTCCACAATGAGGAATAGACAAAGCAGCTGAGTAGACAGTCGTGCAGTAATAAACTTGCTTTGGGTAGTTAGGAGGACCCGTGTGAGCCCAGACTGCATGGGACGTGACAGCCCAGGCTATGCAGGCCTGTGGGTCCTGGGCTATGCCACCTGCCTTGAGAAGGAAGCCAAATTTTTAAAAGAAAAACTCCCAATCATACAATCATAGCAACAGAGGAAAAATCAAAGCCAGTGTTAGGAGTCATAGAAAGTTTTCAAGAAAGAAACAAAAATGAAAACCACATTCTCAATATTCTTTGCTATACGTTTTCCTAAAATGAAGCAGTTTCCAAATGAACTGGCTAGCCTCAGAGGGCATTATCGTCTTCCACCCAGACACAGTGAAGGCTATTAGTAAAGTTAAACATTAAATGAAAATTGCACTTATTACACTCAAAAGTTAAGAAAATCACTACAACACCAATGCTACATCTTAAAATTTTCAACATGAAAATTAATTTCTTTTTATTAATAGGCTCACATGTAATTTTAAGGGTATAAATGTGTCTGAGAGAATTATTGAATATCATGTGAGAATGATTAACTACTTCTTATTAGCACATTTTCCTTCTGCAAATACACCCACTTCATATTACTTCCTTGAAATAAAATGAAATCATTTTCTTAGGGAAAAAATAATACACATGTCTAATAGGATAAATGTGAAGTAACTTTGAGTTGAAGCCCAGGACTGAGAGCAGCATGTTTAGCTAGGTCATACCCTGTAAGAAGAATCTTGACAGCTCTGATATAAACATGTCCCTCCCTGTCTAAGAAGCATAACAGAAATTTGGGGGAAACTGGAGTTAGCCTGAAAGATGTCATTATGTTCTAATTTTTATTCAGGAAATGTTGTTACCTTATAATAGATTCCTGGTCTAAGCTCTGTGTCCTGACACTCATTTAAGTAAGCACTCTGAACAGCTGCATCCAGCACAAGGTTCCTCATACCACACCCTTGATACCTTGCCTGCAGAAGTTACACACATACGATAGAGGAGAGGCAAGACCCTCTGAAGGCATTTTCCACATTTTGACTAACTATATAAATACTAGCTGATAAAAAAATGCTAATGATGCAGGGGCATATTGGCCTGGGATTGATTTTACTGGTTGCTTGTTTGGGTTTGGCTTTTTATTTTGGTTTTGGTTTTGTTTGTTGGCGCTAAATCTGGAGGCATTTTCAAAGACAAATAGTAGGAATTTAGTAAACAGACTGTCATTCTTCCATTCTGGAATTCTCAGATGATGTTAATTTATTTTTACTCATTTTATATACATTTTATATTTGATTTCACCTGCTTTTATTTTTAAATCTTTTGCTATTGTATTTTTTTTCAGAGTTGGGTAAGACTTCTGTAACTTTTGATCGCCAGTCAAAATAATGGTGTTCTGAGGTCGGTCCTATTTTATACTCCTTTCCATTATTCAAAGTAGCTTTATTCTGAGAGATATACTTATGAAGCACCTATTTTTAAGCCGTTGGGAGTTAGGCTGTGTTAAACCAAGAGGAAACATTATCAGGGCTTCATTTGATCACTGTGACTCAGTACTGACCAAGTTTGTGCTGAAAGAGGAAACTGCTAGAAATCTGAACCCAAATTCTTAGTAAAACTATGGCAGAACTCTCGAAAGCTACTACAGGGCAGGGAAGCAACAGTTCGTGGTCTTCCAACTTCCTAGGAGAGGGCCACCCTCCCCAGTACACAGGGTCACTTCTTCACTAAATATGAGTAAGGGCGAAATAGCCACATTTACCCTCAACCTAAAGGTTTCCAGACAACAACCGTGAAAATTCCCAACTCAGTTCATGTTTTGACAAGCACCTGGTGGCTCTCTCCATTTCGGCTTTACTCAGTTCACCAGGAAAGGCACATTTAACACCGTAAGAGCTCAAGCCTGTTGAAGTTAGCAAACAGCTTGAAATGCAAAGCTTACATAAAAAGTTTAAATGTCAATCTTACCTCTGGTGGTTTGAATGGCCCTTGTTCTGAAACAAAGGTAAAAATTGGCATCGTCAGTGTGGTCGTTTGGTTTGGTTAGCAGCCTTAGCTTGTCCTCAGCAGAGTAGCAAAACACTGCCGCTTTGTTTTCTTAACTGATACCTGTAATATACTTCCAGGGTCCCTCAGGGCTGGGCTCTAATTGTTAAGCAACCCGGGTTCTCTTACCTTATTGGCTTGTCAGAAAGGTGACTCATACTCCTAAATGACTTGTGGGTTATGCTTAACTTTTCCAACTGTTTCTTAAGCAATGTCAATTCAGCCTCATAAAACTCCTTAAAACAAGGACTTACACTCATTTATATGCAAGACTCAATCCTGCAATGCAGGTCTTTCTTTCAACACATTTTAAGATCCAAACACACTGTTAAATGATACTGTGCAGACTAGTTCCTGCAACTGCAAACGTTAACACAGCTCAGCATTCTACATGAGGTTTCCATGAACTGGCAATAATACTTACTTTTTATTTTAGAGAAAGTATACTTTGGTTTACAGATAGAAACTTAAAAGAAACCAGCCAACCAACCAACCAACAAACAACCTCAGTCAAGATTCAGTTCCAACACTCTTTCACCTTACTTCATATATTTATAAACAGGTACACCAATTTTTTTTTACAGTAGTTTGGTTCTTAAAACTGAGTCACACTTGAGACCTTCAGGTGAGCAACCTGCTTGGGGGGCCAAAGGGTATCAGAATAAGAGCATGTGCTGCAGATGGAAAACTGGTCTGCAGGCTCTTCCCTTCCCTCCCCCACATCTAGGAGCTCCTAAACAAGTTATAACTTCTCCAGACACTGTGAAAACCCCTCGCTGCTGTGAGCCCATGCTTGCACTTTCCCTATCCAAAATAACCTCTTAGAAAGGATCTGAGAAAAAAAATGGATGCAACCAAAGGAGCTATCACGGAGCAAGGGCAGGCCTGGATACAGCTCTGTAGACTGTTTCCTTAAAAGGCTCCACTGGGCCAGAGTTCACAGGGAAAGCTCCTACCAGGACACCTGCCCTGCTAGAGCAGGCTGCTTACACAAGACTGCCTGGGGCAAGGAACGGAAGGTCACTTTGTGACTTTCGCTTTTTTTCTTTCTTTTCTTTTCTTTTCTTTCC